TATCACTGGTTTTACTTGTTGCTCCTGTTAAGCCTTCAGCTGTAGAAATCACTGATACAGCAAAGTGTTAATTTTAGGGTGACTTTCTGGTTGGCTTTAAAATAATCTGGAGTTTATGTAAATGTGCTTATTTACTAAACAAGCAAATGCCAATGGAGTAATGTGCTTTACTCTGAATAACCTTATTCACAGCCGAGATAGACTTCCAAGAGTAAGCAGTCTGCCCAGGAAGTTTTGTGCAGGATCAGGGCTAACATCTGTTGAACATAAGCTTGGGATAAAAAAAATAGGCTGTCAGGGGAAAAATACAGTGATACGATTATAGCACTTGAAAGCCTGATGAGTAATATTATGTGAAAGATGAAGCTTAGGAGTTCAGAGGAATTCTAGCTTAGTTTTTAGCACTTCCAGCTAATCGTATCTTTTGAAATAATAGCAACAGTTTTTATTTATGTTGGTCTCCTAGTTTGCTTAAAACTTTCCATGTACCCTTCTGGGCTAGGAAAGAAATAGATAGTATTTGTAAAACAATTCCCACGAAATAGAAAAGAAACAAAACTGTATCAAAATTGTTTATTTTCATACTGCATGCTGTTTACATCCATGTTAGAACCATCAGTTGGATCTTTTCTGTGGTTTTCCTTCTACTGTAGGAGCATTATTAGTTTAACTGGAAGGAGCATTATCATTTAACTAGAAGTGGAAATAGATTGACTGGGAAGAGATTTAGTATGAAATGCCAGTGACCTCTTTGGAGCTAAATTTTCCTTCTAGGTTGATCCCACAATTGTTGGTAGTGGGTGCCATGGAGAGTGCTAGATACTAAAAGGATAAGGAAAGCAGGCACAATGTATCCAAAACCTCTCTGTCAGAGAGGCTTTAATGAGGTGTTGGCAGATGCAAAAGGGCGTAGTAGGTTATTGCTAACTCAGTGATGCAAGTAGGGTAACATGTTGCTCCTATTGAATCCGTGAAGCAGCAGAGGAAACAGATATAGGAGCAGCATCCTCCAGTGTGACAGCACGGTGAAATTTCATCCTGAAGCAGTCTGAAGCCCCTGATCTTGGAACCATTTGATGATTCAAAAATAGGACTGGAGGAATCGATAATTCCCCTTTGGGTGGAAAACTCATGACCGGGTTTGTTTTGCTAATATTGAATTCTTGTTCCTGCCACCAAGCGACCTATATGTTGTGCAGTGCATTGATTTGTGCTACTGTTACGACTCACGTGCACAAATGCACACTTTTCTATACAGTGAGCAGGAAACACTGGGTAAAATGTCAAGAATATACTTCTCACAAAGTTTATTTCTGAGATAGAAAGTTGCTAGCACAAGTTAATACAGACACATTCTGTGAGGTGTTACTGGCAGTGATACGTTGTAACGGCTCTGGCTCTGTAACTAGATGTTAATTTGAGATATATTCATTCTTCAAAGACTTTCAGTCCAGCTGGAGTTAAGAGTCTATGACTAATGTTAAAGAAATAAGGAGTAAATGTCATTGCCAACTTTCTTTCTTCCTAGTGCAAAGCAGCATTCTAATTTTAAAAATGTATTTGAAATTATAACAGCATCAGCTATTAAGGCGCTTTATTCTGCAAAATGTTCTGGTTTGGTTGATGCTAAATTAAATATAAAGTGCGGATATCTACAACTTTCAACTTTTTTTTAAGTGCTAGTTTTGAAAATGCGCTGTGCAGGAAGCATTGATATGTGACTGTATGAGAAGTCTGCCTTGGAAGGCTTCTGTGGTATCACAATTCATGCAGCACGCAAAAGCAAAAGAAAGCTGATGCCCTTCATTCTGCCTTATCTATTGCCCTTTCTTCAGAAGAAAAGCCAATAAACTTATCAACGCAAACCACAGGCCAACTTACAAAAGGCTTCAACTACTGGCACCAGGAATATATCAAAAAAAGATTCTGTATGAACACAAATGCAAAGAGCTGAAACAGCATGGTCATGAGGCCATGTCCTTCAGGGGTTTTGGGCAGAGGTGTTCTACCATTTGACATTTTTAATGTTTTTCTTCTGTGAAAACACTTGCAAATTCGTGCCAGTAGCATGGATTAATGAAGGCAATCAGTGAAGCTGTTTCTTGCTATTGGCAGCCAGCAAGGTCATTGCTTTTCCAGAGCACTTGTGTTCCCCATCCTGCTGAGATGCCTCCTATGGTGATGCTTTTTGAAGTCATCATACAAAACACTGTCTTACTAAACCAAAGTAGGACTCTTCCCCTTGGACTTGTGATAAGCTTCCGCTGGCTCAGCTGCTGTGAGCGCTAGAGCTTCAGCAGATCTATAACATCTAGTAGAGAAACAAAATCTCTTTGTATCCCACTTGCCACTCCTCCTAAGGCTCTTTGAAAACAACCCCTGACATCCAATTTCATTGTCAGAGCCAGAGTGTTGCTATTAGGGATGAAGTCCAAAGCTTCATTATGGTTGTCACTCTATAGTTCATCTTACGAAGATGTAGTGTTGCATGACATTGTGTTTGGCATGGCAGCATGCTGATCCCAAATTCTTTCATGTCATAGCACTAATGCTGTCGTCTTCTGTGCAGGAAAAAGACATTTTCTTCTTATAATGGACTGTTTGAGAGTTGAAATAAGTGGAAAAGATCAGGCAACTTGGGATGAAATTCTGCCCAGGTGGGCAGCAGAGGACTGTGGTGACTTGTAGCCCCTGAGGTGGCTCTATGCATAGAGAAGTGTTTCACACAACAAGACCATGGGCTGGGGGTGGGTATCAGTGCCTCCCACCCAACTTTATATACGTATTTCATTCTGCTAGTCTGCCCTGCTTGCTTGTTTTCAAGCTCTGCAGTCGGTGGGGAATATGAATGGTTCAGTGCCCTTGGTTTTGCTTTCTGAGCCTGCTGGAGGAGCTTTTTTCTGCTGACTCCAGGGGAGCCTCCAGAGGCACCAAGTCACTCAGTGCCTGAAAATGAATGGTGCAAATATTCTCCAGTGACAGCAGTCACTAATAACCATCCTAGAATCATAGAATGGTTTGAGTTGGAAGGGACCTTAAAAATCATCTAGTTCCAACTCCCCTGCCATGGGCAGGGACATCCTAACACCCTACTGATACTCTGTTAAATACAATAAATGCGCTGGCTAAAGCCTCTGATTTGATTTTGGTTTGGTTTTGTGTTTGTTTGGTTTTTTGTTGGGTTTTTTTTTGGGGGGGGATGGATTTCAAAGCGCCATATAATAAACTCCAGTGACTAGAAAACTGAAAGTTATTCTGACTTGATCCAAATTGCTAGACTCTGTTTAGGACAGAAGCATAATGATTACATGATTTTGTGATTACAAATTGTCATAAATATTGTGCCAGAACATAGGCGAGGAGTCAGTGACATGCTGAGGAGGTCTGTGGTGTGAACAGCTAGGGTATGCTTTCAAGGCAGAGCCGGAGAGAACGTAAGGAGCACGTAGAACCCATGTGGTTGTTCTGCAGGGAGTGCGTTTCCACCCATGTGCACTATTGATCTCCAGGAAAGGGAACACCAGGAAGATGGAAGCATTGCTCACTTGAAAAGATAAGGAAGAGTATGAGAACTGAATTGGCAAGGAAAGGAGGGCATCCAGATTTTTCAATCTACGAGCTCTTTATTCAATGTTATAAAACTGAACAAGTGCAAACCCATTGCCATTGAAAGAAAAGGGTCAGTCTCGCTTTCCTGCATATGCCAAATCTTTAAAATCTGTTTGGTTTTGTTTGCAGATTACTATGCCCTCTTCGGTACTATGTGCCATGGCTGTGAATTCCCCATTGAAGCTGGAGACAGGTTTCTTGAAGCTTTGGGCCACACTTGGCATGACACTTGCTTTGTATGCTCCGTAAGTAAAGCTAGCCTACCTTTTAAATAAAACCCGTGGCAGCAGTGCCTGTGCTGAGCTGACCAATGTGGGAGTTAACAGCTACAACTTCTTTCAACCCTCTGAGCCCAAACAAAAAGCCCAAACAAATAACTTTCCCAGTTATTTGGAAGGTACCTTGCTATTGTGAACCTTTGGCACCACCCAAGAGGAGCTGGCCTAGATTGCAGCCACGTGTCCCAGCATTTGACCCTTGATGTTTGCTTCCTCAGAGCAAACATTAAAGGCCATACAGAATTGGGCTGCTGCATTTCTAAAGCAATAAGAGTACTCTTAACATAAAGACACTGTAGCCAAAGTATCACCAAATCCTGAATTACTTTTTCTTTTTTTTTTTCTTTAAATTCTGAACCTAACTCTGTCCCCACTTAAGAACCTGTTGACTTAAAGAAAGGAAGGTAATGGTTACATCAACCATTATTATTACATCAAAAAGAGCATTCCTAAGAAAATGGTAATAATCCTTGTTCTTTGAATATATTTGTGCATAGAACAATGCCGTGATTTGGCATTCTGAATAATGTATGGTATAATTCATCCATCTGAATTCAGTGATTTTAATTTTTTTTTATCCCATTTCAGGTATGTAGTGACAGTTTGGAGGGTCAGACTTTCTTCTCCAAGAAGGACAAGCCACTGTGCAAGAAACACGCTCACTCCATCAACATCTGATGCTTGGAGTGCATCTTGTGTAACAAATGTACTGAGCAGAAAGAAAGGTTAAAATGTCCATGTTCAATAATTGGTTAAAATTATTTATATATGATTTTCTAGAATGGAAGAGAAATGTGGAAACTTGTGGAGGGGGTTGTACACTAATTTTTAGAGTGTTTATCAGTTACAGTTTTGCTTCATAAAAAGATAGGAACTGGGAATTGCTACAAATTATTAGAGTGCCTTTACCTCTACACTTGGCACATTACTGTATTGGTTTCATGATTTTATGATCATATTTATATCTGCTTCAGTGTGAGAAGGGAAACATCTATAAAAATAAAGACCTGATATTAGAAGTCTTGGTTTTGCTGCTATTCATCAAATAAAAGGAGATTGGCTTCAGTGATCCAGACCACTTTTTTGCGCTGATGTTTTTTAAAGTGTGTCTGGAAGTATTGCAGCTAAACTCCCTTAAAAGGAACTCAAAGCAAAGATAAGATTACACAGAATATATAGTTTAACAACTGTTATTTTTACCTGATGCTTGTATACATGAAGCCTCCTGCACAATTACACGTACCTGTGTCATTGCAGTTAAATCTCTGATGGGTCTGCAAAGGACAGAGAATTTTACAAAGCAGTCAAGTGGGGCAGTGGCTGTGCGGGTGAACAAGAATGGTTTAGAAGATGTCACTTAGAAAAAAACATAAATGGGATATTCTTCCTTAACTCACGTACTACGACAACACTAGCCAAAAAACCTGCTTGTGAAGGTGTTTTTGACAGGATGGAAATGTCAAATCAGATCTCAAAAATAAGGGGGTGGGGCGTTACACTCTTACATTGGCAGTTCAGGTTTTAGCGCCTTAGAAAGGGGAAATTGGACTGAATCTGCAGGTAACAGTGTTTTATATCCAGATTCTGGTGTTGAATGAGGAAAACTACTGAAGTGCAACCGAGGACATTGTTTTTCTCTCAGTACGTTCTTTACCATGTAGCTCATGAATATGTATATTGGTGGTCTGCCAGGTAGCGTACCAAAAACTAACTTTCTTGCTCAGCTATTACGATTTTTATTAGTTTAGGTTTTGTTTCTCTCTTTTCCTCCAGATGTCGGGAATATATTGTTGAATAATATAATATTGAGTTAGGCAGCCTGGTATCTCTCAGTTCTTGCAAGGGAGCAGGGAGACAAGGCTGTCATTATGCATTTACTGCGATTCAGGAGACGTGGTCAGTTCTGTGGCTTTGATACGAATTTCGCCTCCACATCGGGAGCCAGCGCAGGACCCCGTGCACCAGCTAAGTCCCACTTAACTTCAAATTAAGGCTTAAGTGGCACAGAGCAATTGCAGGCAGATAGAGAAGAGGTGGTGACCCCTCTGCATGGGGTGAATTTCGCTCCAGCAGAGTTGCACAACAGAGAAGGGGCCCTCTCAGATTCCTGAAGGATACTAAATTTGCAGGCTATTTAATTCAACCGGGATGTCAGAGCTGAACTGTTAGTCTTTAGTGCTCTTTCCAGTAGACACTCAAAGTAACCATTTACTGGTTTTGTTGTTGTGTTGGGTTTTTTTGTTTTGGTTTCTTTCACTAATACAAAGGACAGGTTTACTGATAAAACCATGGGGAAAATCACAACAAATTTCCATGGTTGAGTAAAGCAATTGTAACAAGGAACATCAACAAAAGAGGGGGAAAGAAAGCCAAAGTTACTGTACTGAAATATGAAAATATATTTGGCCTTCTTATTAATTCAGCAAGACAGGTTCACACTGTGGGGCTGTTTCACTTTATTTCCTGAAGTTGTTTTTCTTCACTATTACCACGTTTCTTTTTTTACCTTTTGGTGGTACAGAAGAAATGGCATAAAGCTGTTTAAAATGTTTACACTCTTGTAGATGTACCCTTAGTGAGTTTGGCTGAAATCAGAAGGATGGAAGCAGACTAGACAAGATATGGCAATATATGAGCCAGGTTGCTTTTGAAATTAGGTGGAATGTGGAGAAATGAGACCTGCAGATGAGGTTTCAGTGGGGCTGTGTTGCACATGTGTGAGGAAAGAGGATGGAGATGCACAGGATAAGGCATTTGGTAATTTCTGCAATTCAAATCTTGCTATTTTAAAGTAGAATAGAAACTTTTCAGTTTGTCAGTGTCCTTAAAATCAAACTGAATTTTGTGTAGTTTTGTAACATTGATTGGAATTGTATTTCTTAATCCATATGCTTTAGGGTTTGACATTTTGCAGTCGTTAATGAATTTGAGGACAAAAGCCTGGAAGGCTCCGATAGTACTGCTTCATGTAGCTGCTTTGCCTTTTTATTTCTGCTTTTATCTATTTGTTTAAAATTCAAAAGGAAGCATAGAGTCACTGATACATAATGAATATTTAATGGCTCTACCAAATTATATAAATCAACTAAAAGGAACATAATTTTTATCATTATTTTAATAAGTGAGATTTTAGTAGAGCACTTTATAATAATGCCATATATCTCACTGAGTATTTATTATCTTTTTTGTGTAGGATTATTTCATGCTGGTATATTTGTATTGTGTTTTATTTGTAAGCCTGCAGATTTACCTCTAGAATCTTTTGATGTGTGAGTGTGTGTATGTGTATGTATTTATATATACTTCTCTATACATGCAGACAAATGCATGTACATTGAGATACATGTATATATGCACATATACATACATATATTTGACTGCAGACTTGACATAGCAAAAAATCAGCACCGCTCCATCATCATTTGGGGATTTCATGAGATTCCCAACTATTTTTTCATACCACACATGTATAGCATTCATGTTTTAAGGGAATGTTAGGAAGACAGGAGAGACATATTAGTAACCTAACTACTGTAGTTTTTTGCATGCATTTTCAGTCATTAATTATTTTTCTTCCAAAACTGTGCCTGTAAGAGAATTGGGTTTAACTCTGTTTGGAGATAGAAGGTCTTTATAAGTGAATAATTGAATCATGATGACAGTTTCAGTATATTGTAACTAAATAATTCAGAATTATGTGTAAATATAAATGCTTAATATAACAATGCAATAAACTTAAAAGCAAAAGTTGAGCTGTGGTTCAGTGTGTTGGTCTGTTTAGTTGTGTAGCTGTTTCTTCATGGAGCTGCTTGCATCAACTAGCCATTTGAGGGGCTTTGCAAACAGGAGCAAGAAGAGGAACTACCAGTTCACAGACTCCTTTTATTAATTTCCTTTTTTTTTTTTCCATTGTTTTACACAAAAAACAGTTGTCAAGTCCTGGTGCTTGTGTTTAATAGTCTTTGGCATCAAATTTTGGCTGTTCACATTTGCAAATTTAATTATAATTAAAATACAAAACAAACAAACCAACCCCACAGAAAACACCAGACTCTCTACCTATCCTCAGTTGTTTTGTGTTTGTTGAATATTTTCTTTTTCTGAATCATAGTAAAAGAAAGTTGTGATTGTGCACATGGACAGATATCATTTGAGTTGTTTGTTCTTCAGTTCTTTGGAGGTTTGCTTTACAGAAAGGGACCTGGAGGTCCAGGTGGACACCGAGTCGACCATGACCCAGTGATGTTCCCTTTGTGACAAGGACGACCATCAGTCTCCTGGGCTCCATTAGGCAAAGCATTGCCAGTGGATTGAGGGAGATGACTGTTCTCTGCTCAGCCTTGGTCAGACACTTCTGGCGTCCAGTGCTGGTCTTGCCAGTACCACGGACATACTGAAGTGAAGAGCCAGGATTAAAGGCTTGGGGCATTTGTCATACAAGTTGAGGCTGAGAGAGCTGGTACTGATCAGCATGGAGAAGAGAGGGCTTGGGGAACTATGTCATCCATGTGTGCAGATTCCTGGAGGCAGGAGTAAAGAAGATGCAGCCAGACTTGGCTCGGTGATGCATAGTGACAGTACAGTTGTGAGGATGGCCAAACACAGGCACAGGTTGCCCAGAGAGATACCAATGTCTCTGTCCTTGGAGATATTCGAAACCCAACTAGACATGGCTCTTGGATTAGACAAGATCCCTTCATCTCCAAAGGTCCCTTCCAACTCTGGTGAGTCTCTGATTCTCCGTCTTTTCTCAAGATGGAATGAAAGATGGAAATATGGTATTGAACGTTGGCAAATATGTAACAAGGTAAAACTCAACATTGGCAATTACTGTTTATTTGCTATCTTTACTTCATTCTACTGCCCATCTAGAATACATTGCAATGCTTGTTTAGAAGTGTTTAATATTTTTTCCGAAGTTGAGACTGTCCAAGGAAATACTGCCTGCTCTGACAAGCAGCATCCGATACTGTACTTAGCCTTGGCACGCAGCAGTCTCCACTTTCACCTCAGAATACTTAACCGTCTACTATAACATGGCCAATTACTTCATGATAATACCAGTCTGGTACTGCTCTCCTTAGCCGAGTATCTCTTAACTCGGCAAATGCACTGTTGTTTTCTACCTTTATTTACACAAGCAAAGGAAAACACTGCACACAGCTCTATAAAATTTAGAGGCAACTTTACAGAAAAATTGCCTCCCCTTCAGTGTTTAGGCTATGAACGAGACAAACGCAAGTCTATTTGCAAACAGTATATTAAACTCCAGAAGCCAAACTTTTAAAGGCATCAACTCTGCATTTGACATTTTAATGGCAAAGGTTTGGTTTCTATCAATCACAACGTCATGTAACATTAAAGTGCACCGACAAAAAAAAGAGATCTGTCATTCATTCATTAAGACACTGTAATCCAGTGTAAGATTTATAGGCTTAAAACTCAACGGTGTGTTTTCACAATAAATCCACTTTCACTGCTCAGCACAGAACAAGTCTCTCTGTCACTCAAAATGTTTGCTGGTCAAAATGCCCTGTATGAGATCTTCAAAGGGTTTCTCGCAAAATTGCATATAAATCCTTTTACCAGCAAAGGCTTAATTTAGGTTCAAGTTTTACTTTCTCGGTACATTGGTTAATATCTTGTGCTCAGACAAGATCTTGGTTATATCAGAAACACGTAGGGCCTAATTTATTATTAGCAGTCTGGTGTTAATTAGGGGGAATTACCAGAAATAGTTTGCTTGATGGAAATTTATTATGGGATCACACTTTACTGATGGCAAAATAGGAGTCACTGAAAGAGTGCAGCTCCTTCTCATAAC